AATTTTTGAGGTGGGCTCTAATTTGATTGTTTGAGCCTCGTCTCTACATAAACTTTTTTCTTAAAAAAAATCCGTTAATAGGGTGGAATGGAGGATTATGATTCGTATAGCCAACCTCAATTAGTTGGGAAAAAAAAAAAACCCTCATTTGTCATTCTTTATAGTCATATCTTGACTTTGAGGGATTTATTTATTTTTCCAAGAAAACCCAAATAAATCTTCAAGTTTCTAACTTGCGTATTTCTTTTTCGACTTACAGATGGGTTCGAAATTTCAAGTTATGAACCCAGTTTTCACCGAAAAGAATGACCTATGAAGTTTTGAAAAAGGGTCTTTGTATGGTTTGTTTATTTCATTTTCTTCAAAGATCATCAAGTTTTCATTGTTTCTACGTCCAAATTCATGGATTATTGGAAGTGACTTAATATATGTTTTGGGTCCTAAAACCCTACAAAATAAATGTATGAGTTACTTAAAAAAAGCTTTGATGATGATAATAACTTGTATAAATTACTCCTAACGAGATAACCAAGGCAAAATGAAAAAAAAATAAAAATAAAAAAAATATAAAAAAAGAGAGGAAGATGTCCAGTCCAATGCTACTCGTGAAATCTGAACTAGATCCCTATAAGATAACGATTTAACTTTAAATTGCTCAAATTCACCAAAACCCAACCTAAAAAAAAGTGTGAATTGAAAGAAACAGAAAAAAGAAGCACGTATAAAACCCTAATTCAAATATTGCAATATACTGCAATGAAACATAAAATTATATCGGTTTTAAAAATTAATATAATCACAAATAAGTTATTAAGCCAAAAGATTTGATGCTTCTAGGGAGCAAGCTGTCCATTTTTAACTCCCATTGAATACTCAATGATATCCCTCTTATTTTCAGAAATTTAAAAAATACTAAATGTTCATATATTATGAGCGTATCCATTTTTTTCGCTTCTTTTTTCATGTATTTAAAATTTTCCATCGATCCAAGGGCGTAGCAGTTCTTACCAAATCGGTACGGTTATAATATAGGAAACTTTTATGTACTTTTTAAATTTCAAGAAATATAAGGGATATTAATAATAATTTCCCTAAAATTTATAGGGATAAAAAAGTAATAAAATTTATTGTAATAGAAAGGGTCACATCTCCCAACCCTTTTTTAATATGATAAAATATTAGTTTTCAAAAATTGAATTGGGCTCTAGATTCTAAGTCTAAGTAGTAGTATTGGGGCTTTCAACAATTGTCTTTCAATTTTCAAAAATTGAATTAGGTTTTATCAAAGAAGTTTGTATGGTATCTCTATCCACCATAATTTTCATTTTTTATTTCAGGAAACGAATAATCTTCGAGTCCTCTTTTCAAAAACATACGAAAAGATCTATCAAGAGTCAAGTCATTAGTGAACCTTTGAGAGAGCATAGTTCAGATTCCAAGTATCCAAATCAAAATTGGCGAGTCTGAGTTGGTCAGGTGCATCAGCAAATTTTATCATGTTATATAATTTTGATATAAAATGTTATTACAATTATCTCAAAATATATTTTTATATTTAATTATAAAATTTTAAATTTCAAAGATGGTTAAAATCAAGTAGATCCATAAATATATGAAAATCTTGAAAATAGACGGTGTAGATAATATGTTGTAAAATGCACTATTTTTGAGACTTAAAATCTTTTTATTTTTCATAGTCATACATCTCGATGTCGAGATAATCAATCAAAGGGCTTTTCAACACTAAAACTACCTTTTCCGGTGGATTGTTGAGGGGCATCCATAGTCCTACATTATAAGGTAGCATCCCCATATAAACTTTTTCCTTTATACAATAGTAAAAGACGGGGAGATTCAAGCAATGATGGGGTGGGAACAACTGCAAACTGATTGGGCATGTAGGTGATTATTTTATGGGTGCGGTTTGTATAGAGCCTAGGCTCTAAACAATCACATTAGAGCCTACCTTCAAATAATGTCAATAAATGTGGTTTAAATATTGAAAATCTTTGTGACAGACTGAAAATATATTTTAACTTCAAAAATAGTGTAGATCGATAGATTTATGAAAACTTGAAATCTTGAAAATCGACCGTCAAAAAATGTGTTACACAATACACTACTTCCAAAACTTGAAATCTATCTTTTTTCATATCTATCCATCTTGATATCGAGATGATCCATTTGAAGATATTTGGGCACCAGAAAAACCTCTTCTAGTAAAATTTTTGCGGTAGGCTCAAATTTGATTGTTTAGAGCCTCGGCTCTATTTCCACTTTTCCCTTATTTTAATGCTTTAAAAACCAACTCCATTAAAGGACCACACGATTCCACCACCTCCTAGAAATAATAGAGGTCAAATGTCACCCAATAGGTCAATGCACAAGAGAGATTCCCACAACTAAATGCCAACAAATCGCTTTAATTTATGGAAAAACTTAATAGTATCATAAGAAATGAAAAAGACCTAATATACATGGCTCAGATATCAGCAAATACATGATACGTTCTCGAGTCCACAACAATGAGCCTCACTGCGGCAACGGCCGCAGCTGCAGCCAACAAACTGAACCCACACACATTAAGCCAATGCCATGCCTTTTGCAGAGAACTGAGTTTCTCCCTCTTCACCATCAAATACATGTGGTTGGCGAGCACAAAGGTTAGAGGGAAGGTGCTTAGTGCACCTGTCAGGCTCATAAAATCGCCAAGAAACGGTAGGAGAGCAGCGACAAAGGCGCTTACAGTGAGATAGCCACCTCTCACTACAACCCGGAATAAGATGCTTTGCATAGAGTATGTCTTTCCCTGTCTAGACATACCATATGTTGTATCCAAGTACTCGTACATTGGGCTTGCAAATATCTGCAGAGGAAATGGTTGGAATCTTCAATGATAAGTGTCCTAAGAGTAACAAAAATCTCCATTTTTGTTGAAAATTTCAGACAAATATCATGAGATTTTATTCTTTTTTAAAAACTAAAGGAATTTTACAAAGTATCACAAAAGTTACACTTGTCTCCAATTTATATTGAAAAATATGTCTTTAGTTTATGTGCTTTACAATGGTAAGTGTAAGTGAGTAGACCATGGAACTCTGAAGTTTAGATAAGAACCCATTCGTTTGCTACCAAAATGATGCTTAAATGTAGATAGAAGTTTATAAGAAAGGAATATATCATAAACTAACTAAAAATATATATTAGTTGACATCACCCCACATGGGGCATTCCATATTAAGGAGAAAACATCAGTTCCATTCTTCAAAAAATGACAGGAACTGCGCCCACCGAAAAATGTTTTGCATGGAAGGGTGAGGTCATGGAGAATCCAAAGTCCTTGGTACATCTTTAAAAAGTCCAAGATGTGTAGGATACTTGTTTGCAGTTTAAAAAACGGGGGAGTTACTATCAATGGGAAACAAACAAACGCATCATGAAATGAATCTAGGGAAAGATAAGATACGCATCATGTTTACAGTGAACCCAATAAAATTGGGACCATCCACTTTCATTTCTAAAGAAGGATGGTGTAGATGAACATCCATAAAAGGACCTGCAGTTTCCTCTTCCCTCTACATCTGGAGAAGGGGTGAGGGATGCCCTGATGATCTATAGTATACTACACACTAAAGGTATGGCACATGATATACTTACTTTCCAAATGGCAAAACGATCTTAATAAGTTAGAAGCAGTAGTATTAGAGAGAGAATGTGAACAAGCAAAAATGAGAAAAAGAGAGGATGAAAAGACATACATGCAAAGCAATGACTGTTTGCAAGAAAGCGGCCACATTTGCCACCATTTTCACCCAAACAGGGCCAGTCACGCTGTTAAGGAGATAGGATGAAGTTGAGGATCCATACGCCCAATACCCAACAAATGTAACTGCATATAGTGGGAGCACACCAGCTGTGAACTGAAAGGCGAGGGCTTTCTGCATATTCTTTACAACTGGTGGCTTCACAGTTGCCTGACAAAATCCATCGTAGAATAAGATCACAACAAATCAAGAAAACAATCCTTTAGGTGCTATCAGTAAATTTCTAATCATTATGGTTCGTCAGATGATGTCTAGAAATTACCTTCTTTCCCTTGCTGCATCAATGGTATTGCTCAAATCTTAAGAAATCCCTCTCCCTCTCTCTCTCTCTCACACACACACACACACAGACACACATACACAGTCCTCACCCCCTTTTCTAAATAAAACTTAAAATAACTATGGTATCTTTAATGCCAAACATGAATGCTAAGATAAAATCCAAATGAGAGGTTCTATCATTATCATTATCAGAGCCTTCTCCCAACTATTTGGGGTGGGCGGAACCCCGGTCCGCCATTCTGCTCTATCAAGGGGCATACCCTCAGTGAGGTCATAAGTCCCCATATCTTTTTTCATTACTTTCAGCCAAGTCTTTTTGGCCTTTGCCCTTTTTCAGCCTTACACTTGAACCAACTCGCACCTCCTAACATGTGCTATGCTGGGTCTGGGCTGTATATGGCTAGCCACCTAATACTACTTTATCTCATCTTATAACCTATTGAAGATACGCCTAAGTTCTTCTGAATGTATTCATTTCGTATCTATCCCTTCTTATCTTGCCACTCATCCATCTTAACATTCTCATCTCAACTACACTCATCCCATGGGTATGTTGTTTTTTGACTGCTCAACATTCCACCTCATAAATCAAAGCCGGTTTCACAATTGTCCTATAAAACTTTCCTTTCAGCTTCATTGATATGTGGCAATCATAGAAAACTCTTATTGCACATTTCCACTTCGCCCACTCAGCTCTAAAGCTAAATGAGAGGTTCGATGCAAAAGAAAAAAAGAATAGCTGCATTGAGAACAACCTCTTCTTTTCTGTATGGGAATATGGAATGCCCAAAGAGCTATTTACCTGTATCTCAGGTAGCATCCCTGTATTGTAAGCAAAAACAAGACTCGCTGTGGCACCAATGGAGGTGAATACTTTGCTTGTTGAAGTTCCTGGAATGCTGTAATCCCTTGAAGGGCTCCTTATTCCTACATTGATCAAGGGACACATAAACCATGATACATAAGTCAAATATCACACAATAAAGTTAATGGTACTGTTCTTTTATATGACAACTATTTGTATATAAAAACATATTTTCCTAGTAGTGTTACTAAGCTTTTTTCATGCAATGTGAGAAACAACAAATATTTTCATAGAAACAACAAACTATTACGATGCATTATCATATAAACGTTTACTAGGGTGCATAATAACATTTTGTTTTTCCATGCATAGGGAAATTTGAGAAAGTAGTAAAATCAACAATAAATTATGTCAAACACTAGCAATAATTAGGAAATCCTAGGGCTTCCTCCACACCTCAAGCTAGAGTTCCAAAAGCCTAAGCTTTTATTTCTCTTTCAATTTTTTTTTTAAAAATCATGTGTATAGAGCCTAGGCTCTAAACAATCAAATTACAGCCTACCTTCAAATAGTGTCAAGAAATGTGGTTTCGATACTGAAAAATCTTTGTGATTAAAATATATTTTCATCTTTATTTATAAAGTTTAAAGCTTAAAAAATACTGTATATCGACAGATCTATGAAAAATTGATACTCGTGAAAATTGACGGTCAAAAAATGCGTTACAAAATACAGTATTTTCAAAACTTGAAATCCATTTTTTTCTCATGTCCATGCATCTTGATCTCGAGATGATCAATTTGAGGATATTTGGGCATCAAAACAACCTCTTCTAGTGAATTTTTTAGATAGGCTCTAATTTGATTGTTTAGATCTATATAAACTTTTCCCTTACTTTATTGTTCAAAGACATTAGTTATCCATACAAAGAATAAAATGACCGAAAAGAACTAACTTAGAAATAAAATTTGTAATGACATTTTTCCCCTATGAGCAATAACCTGTCAACAGTACTCGTGAATAGCAACCAGTGAATACCAAAAAAATAAAAACAAAACCCTAGAATCCCTAAAATACTTAAAAACCCAAACAATAAACTCTAAAATTAAAATCAAAATACACATCCTTTGAAATTGAATAAAAATATGAATAATTTTATCCTACATCATTCTCCCCTGGTGAAAAAACTTGTGCTCGAGTTTTGAAGTGTGTTAAGATGAATTTAGCATCAAAACCACCTTCTTCAACCTTCTTCTTTATTAGGTCAAATATTATTCGTGGTAAAAAGAAATCCTCAACAAACAAATCCTGGTATATATTTTAAGGAATTAATACAAACTTATCAAATTTAGCTATCCCTGAACTTGCATTGAAAATTGTGTAAAAAACTTCAAGCTCAATTTTCTGGCTTTTAGAGGCTTTCTCCACATTTATTTCATTACACTCTGAATCCAGGGCTTGTGGTTTATGAGTCAACCACACTTCTGCTGCGCTATTCTTATTCCAATGCCCTAAATTTCTCAAGTGCTTCACCTCTTCGATATCTTTGACATCATCATTTTTTTCTTCGTCTTCACCCACAACAATTTTTTCTTTATTATAGATTGGATATCCTACAAGATTTTGTTCTTTATTTGACCACACATCAAATATTAGAGGTGAATCTCGACCTACAACTTGCTAATTATTTATACCACCTCTTGTAAAATAAAAAGTTTCATGCTTCAAATTGAAAACCTTAGAGTGATGTTCTCGACATCTAGGTACTCTAGTGCTTTCCCCTTCATGTGGAGCTCCGAGATGAAAAGGGTGGTACTCGATATCTTCTTGGGCGAGAAGATCACTGCCATGCCCATGAATGATACTTGTAAACTATTGAGTCAGCCGCTGAATTTGTCTTTTAAGTTCTTCAATATCTTCATCTTTGGGATCACAAAGTGGATCTACAAAAAAAAACCCTCCCACGACCCCCTTCTCACTGGCATGGCTCAATAAAAACACAAACTCTAAGCAAATAATCACAAAAAAACACGCTGAAATTAGCAAGTTCTAGGCTGATTTGGAAAAAAATGGCTCAAAATCAGCAAACTTTAGACTTAGCTGTAGTTTTCCAGCTTTGTTGTTCAAGAAACCCTGAGCTCTGATACCACTTGATGTAGGGAAATTTGAGAAAACAATAAAATCGGCAAGAAAACAAGCCAAACACAACCAATAACTAGGAGAAACCTTGGGTTTCCTTGCACCCCAAGCTAAGGTTCCAAAAATCTAAGTTTATAAGGTTCCAAAAATCTAAGTTTTTCTTTCTCTTTCAATTTCTAAAAATCATGTGGAATGACCACGCAAGGGCCCAAAGAACCTCTTAAATAACGTTTATTTAATTGCTCAAGGACATTAGATGACCATAAAAAGAATAAAATGACCCCAAAGTCCTAACTTAATCATAGAATTTGTAATGACATATTTACCCCTGAGAACATTAACCCATGAACAATACTTCTGAATAGTAACCAGTGAATAGTAAATAAAAAATAAAAAGAAAAACCCTAGAATCCATAAAAAGACTTAAAAACACTAAAAAAAACCCTAAAGCTAAAATCAAAATACACATCCTTTGAAGTTGAATAAAAATAGAAATAAGAATAATTTTATCCCGCATCAAATACAACAAAACAACGGAAAGTATAATAATCTGAGAGCCATAAGTAATGGCAACATCACCGATCAATGAAATGGACACTGCTGAAGAGACAGGGATCTGCTAGAACAGCACATGACCCAGTGCTATGTCACAATCTTTCACCATCACCATCCATCATTTTATTGGATGGTGATGACTCCAATTGTACATGGTTCTCCATAGTCCGTTAAATTTGATTGCACTTCCATTAAAGAAACAAGTTATGTGCTCTATGATTAGCGCTGGTGCCATATTGGGAAGTGCAAAGAATACCCTAAAAAACTCCAAATTTGGCCTTAGCTATTATTTACATTTACCATTTTAACAGCATCAGCAGTGAAATCGCTCATCATTACAGAAAGGCTACTGATAAAAATATATCAACTAAATCATGGCTTTATTGAGAAAGGGAATTAAATTATCACAAGAATAAGGTGCTGCTGACATATTGTTAAAGAATTCAACTTCTCAGAAAAAACGTCTTTCCATTGAAGGACAGAAAATTTTCAATTCTAAGATGCTCTGGGGACTGCCTTTAAATTTAAGATGACCATAGCACAAAGAGATCCCCTTCCTCAATGTCCCTATAAAGTCAACCATATCCCAGAGGGAAAGTACACCACAATCCAGTGGCCTGTGGAAAACTATAACCCATTGGGGGGATCAACCTGCAATGAAGTGATGGACGGCTATGGACATAGAGTGGAACCCACCAAAACATGTATGAACCTGGTAGTGGGCAAACAATTCTTTTCTGATAATACTGATAGTCAGCAAAAAAGTTACACGGAAACGAAATAAAAACATGTAGAAGAAATATCCTGCAGTACAATAACCTGATGCCCCTGAACTTCTCACTAAAGCCTGTGAAATGTTTGAATCTATCTTAATATTGCGCACATAGCCTCCTTGCAATTCTACTCTTCCTCCCTCCAAATCCCCAAAGAAGCTGCAATAGGAGTTTACAAGGATTTGGCCTCTAACAGTGAAGGGGGTGCATAGATTATATTTCATGTAAAGTTTTGAGAAAGTTCTCAGAAATTTAAAAGATGTGCAAGGGAGAAAATAATACAACTGAGCAGTCAGTATACCGAGATTCCTGGAAGATAGCAACACAGTCTAAAGCCCTTGACAAGAGCAAGAGAAAAATATCAGGATAGTACCTCGAACGGAAGCATAGATCATGGGTATGGTCCAAAAACTTGAAATATCAGGATAGTACTTGGCCTAATCAAATCTCTTTAAATGACTATTTTATAACAGGTTATTTTATCTTCCTGCCCACAATTAATTGGTATTTATTCCAAACAATGTATGAGGGGTAAGGTCGACAATTTACATAATCGATGTTTCCAGGTACTATCTTGATATATTGTGTTTCTGGACCACCTGCACAATCTATGCAGGTGTTGAAAGTAACGTCATGGTATTTTCCAAATAATATTTTGGGAACAGAACGGTAAAGCTATTTGACCAGGGTTCTAGTTTTAAGCATTCTAAGAAATTAGGGGCTGTGTAAAGAGAGGAAATATTAGATGTCAGAAGGAGAAGCAAATACCATCTTTAAGAGACAACACAAAACCTATTACAATGTATACAAGGCCGAAGAATGTTGAAAATCCAAGCCACACCCGCAAAGCAGATAAATGAGGAGTTGCAAAGGCAAACATAGCACATACAACTCCAGCAATTATAATACAGTATGGAAGCTTTAAAGCATGATCATCCCTGAATAAAACATATATCGCCTGCAAATGGAGTAAGAATATTAGGAAAAAGAATATCTTCTCTCTTTGGGGTAAAAAGATCATCTTTTTATTGAAAATAGAAAGGAGACTATCATGCTACAACACTTCTTGTTAACATTTTGTTTTCTTTAGTACTCTAAGTTCAAACACACACACACACACTTCAAACTAATATATGCCAACGTCACGATTGCTTTTCCAAGATAAAGATAAAGATCTGGTGCAGTTGTGTGCAGATTGGTTCACTGGCGAATCCCCAGTAGAAAATCAGGTCAAATTGAACCCTTGTAATTTGAAAAATCAAAGGTGCAGCTATTACAAGGTTAGAGATTAGAATGTTTTGAGCACGGTAGGAATCGTGCTTTTGGTATGACAAGCAACCAACAGTTTTGAGCAAGATTTGGGAAATGTATAAGTTTTGTTTTTTGCTACATTTAATGGTGGCCATTTGAACATACCAGATATCTCATGTTACATAATTGAGCTGCCAGAGTGCATTTTATGATTAAACACAGTTATGTACTCGGTACTCCCAATGAGGATCTGCCCAAAAATCAACCTATAAGTTTTCCTTAGTGGCAGCCCAGCTCCTTGTCATTTATAAAATATATTTAACAATTAGGTCTATGCATGAAGTATGATTTTGTAATTTTTTTCTTTTCGTATGATTTTTATTGCCAGTAGAAAGCAAAGAAAAGAAAGTTGGTCTATGCATCAAGATTCTGAGGATAATGATTAAATATATTGAACAGTAAACAAATGCCACATAAATTTATCACATGTATTAGCCAAATATTTCATGCCTCCTGATCACAGGTAATCTGCTGAAGAAATATTATACGCACATTTTGTTTATTCCAAAACGCTCAATACGGAGTAAATTTTTTGCTTGTCCCTTGTGAACATAAAAAGAAAATCATGAGATAATTCGTTTCTGTTAGATATGTCATGATAAATCCATCTGCTTTCTTTACCTGAATGTTAAAACACAAATACATCTGATAAAGACAATATTACGCATATAAAGCATAATTGGATAATGGAGTTGTACCTTCAAAGCTTGCCCAGCCAATATGATGTATCCAGTGTTAATCATAAAGAGGTTTACATATTGCAAGGCCCATGTAAGAGAATACATCTTCCTACCTGCAACATAGAGGTATCACAATATTAGTGAACCTTGCCTAGCTCTCCAGAGTCTAGAGAATCGGCAAACAAAGACTTTATCAGCTGATGCATATATTTGAGGATTCGGGTTTAAGAGAGCTACGCTTGACAAAAGACAAAAGAGAGACAGAAAAGCACTTCTTGTCCTAAATATGGAGAGAGAGAGAGTAGATAGTAGTAGAAAAAGAAGAATATCATGAAATGGAATACATCTGAACAAACGCCCACGAGATGGAAACTCAATAAATATGACATTTTCTTTGTGTAGGAGGCAAATTATCATAGAAGAGTATTAAAATATGATAAACTATAGGCATCCCTTCAATCATATGATCTTTTTTTTTTTGATAAAGCATATGATCTTCTTGTATGAAGAATCCATCATATCATAGGCCCCAAAAACATAAGTAAATTTCATTAAATGTTCTGCTTCATGGTCATAATTTTCATTCCATCGAATGAAGATAATTATACTAGTTACCTGCACTTAGCCCTATAATTACACTAGCCATCTGCATCTAATCAAATAAAATGATAGTGCAATTTAATATTACAGCTGAATAAATTGCCTCAGAAAATAAGACTAAACAAGATGAGCTGAAATTCTTAAAGCAATTCAATGATCTTCCTACAAACATAGAAAGAAATAATGGAAGAAAAGCAAGACGCATCCCAAACATGCAACACAATTATCTATCTCATTAATCACTTCTACAGTCAGTGACTCGATTGTAATCGCACAGACACAACTAAGGACATAATAATGAGAAAAAAGATTATGATGGATAAGTAACACTACCAAAGAGGTCCAACCATTTTTTCTCTGTTTTTTTTTTGGAGAAAAAAAGAATTGCAGAGGTTTTACACAATATTCAAATGATACGATGGAAAAAATTGGTTTACCATAAATATGGCCTGCGAGGTCCCTATATCTAATGTGCCTTTTTCCCCCAACTTCATGAAGCTTGGCAAGAAGAGAATTGGCATATAGCGATATGGCAGCGGCGGCAATTAACCCAATTGTGCCAGCAAACCAACCTAAATAAACCATAATTGTGCCAGAATATCCCAAAACGTATGCACTGTTAACCCCAGTTGTAAGAACAAACGCAACTTGATACCAAGGATCTGCAAAAAAGGAAAGATGAAAAATTCATCGTAAAAACCAATAAGTTTCTCTCCTAAAGTAGTATAAACAATAACAACAAATTAAGAACACACCGGCCCATTGTAATGACAGAAGGGGGGGAAAGAAAGATCAGTAGAAAACTTTAAAGACTAGAGATTAAGGCACTACTCGATTAAAGGATTCTTCATAAAATGGAAAAAGTAAATAAATAAATATTTCTCTAAAAAAATCAAATATATAGAGAAATCGGAAACACTAAAAAGAAAAACAGAGGAAACCAACAAAATAGTAGCAATCGTCACTCCAGTACTCCACACAGGCCAGCAAGCTCAATAAATAAACAGATAGATAGCAATAAAAATTGTAAATAAGAAAACATAAAAACAGAAAATAAATAACTAGAAATTCAAAAATAAGAAATAAAAAATATACTTAAGAACCGGCATTTATAAGAAACTTATAAAATAACAAAAACAAAGTAAATAAAAGGAAAAAAGAATAACAAGTTACTGAAGCACACCAGAACTTCATTTCATCAGATATCGGCATAAAATGAAAAAATAAAGAGAAAATTTGCAAAATAAATCAATAGCAACGAGTCAACGACTGCTTAATCCCATAACAAAACATATAATTTGAATAAAACATAATGAATAAATAAATAAATAGAACAAAACTCCTCGAAAAAATGAAAAATGGATAAGAAATACATTAAAACATTACAAATACTTACCATGGCTGATCTGGTGAGCCGTCTCTTCTTGAACTTTGAGGTCAAATTCATCGCCAATGGGCTTTTTTGGACTCTCTTCAAGACCAGCCATGGAATCGGCCAGTAAGGAAGACGACTCGCAAGAAGCAATGTCCACTCGGTCCTCTCTCAATGAATCGATTCTAAGGGTTTTAGTATTTGTGAGAAGTATGTTGCTATCAAAGGGCCGGACCATTGCCCATTAAAATCTGATACAGAGCTCGATTTTCGCTGCTAGTTTCCTTATAAATAGAGATTTATCAAATGAAAACTTTGAGGAGAGAGAGAGAGAGAGAGAGGACATGCGAGAGCACGAATCAGAATCTTCAATGTGCTTACGGGAATGTGTGCACCATGATTGTAGAGAGAGAGATAAGCAGTTTAGTAGAGAGAGAGAGAGAAGCAATTTTAGAGAATAAAGACGCAAGCGATTTTAGAGAGAGAGGAACCTTAGAGAGAGAGCGCACTACGTTTTAGAGAGAGAGAGGGTGCGAAGCGTTGATTGGATGGCGTGTATTAATTTGAAGAGGGCAAATGGGGTAAACTTTGATGAAGTTGAAGACAATACGCCATCGAAATAGAATATGTATCTGTCCGGTGTTGGAATTGTGTGTGCAAAAAATGACTAAACTAACCTTTGTCGGTGGTTGTTTTCTAATTTACTCTTTCTATTTTGACTGGTAACAACTTATTTCGATAAATCCTGTTTACTAATTGGCGCCAAACATTTTACTACTCCCACCCGAAAAACTGGTGGTGATACTAATCTCTCCCATAATTTGATTTGTTACCAACAAAATTTTATGAGAATTTAATTCTATTTTTCACGTTAGGGAGATTTTTTTAAATATTAACACAAAAATTCTATTAATAAAAGGGAAAATATCCCTTCGTCCTCTTATTTTTCACTTTGGAGAGTTAAAAATTGACAATAAAAAGATATTTTCTTTGATCAAAAGCCAAAAACTGTTTAAGGGCCCAAGTGAAATTTTATCTTGAAGTTTTCAACAACATTTGCCCATATGGAAAGGGATTCCGCCCAATTTGGTAGAATGATTCTAAGTAGGATTTGTGGATATATGCTTTCAATAGTAGTGGTATAGCGACTCCTCCCAATTTGGGAGAATAATAATGAGTAGCATTATTTTATTTTTAATTTTTTTTTATATTTGCTTTTGTGAAGGAATGGGCTTATTCATCATCATTATCAATAGAACTTTTTGTGTCAAGAGCCATGCATTTAGTGGGGTTATAAGTCGTATCTTTTCTCGTTAGTTCCGTACATATCTTTTGGATTGACCTCTGGTCGTTTTTATCTTTGTTTTAATCAACTTGTATTTTTTAATAGATGTTGTATTAAGTATGCATTGTATATGCACTGACCACCTACGTCTACTTTTTTTCATCGTCCATTTGAGTCACACCTAAGTTCTTTCAAGTGAATTCATTTCAAATTTTATTACTTTTTTGTCTTGTTTTTCATCCATCTCAACATCATTGTCTCAGCTAGACATATCTTATAGATATGTTATTTCTTGACGGCTAAACATTATGCCTCTTAAAAACAAAATTGGTCTCATATTTGTCCTATAAAACTTTACCTTTAGCTTCATTGATTAGCAATTCATGTTAACAATACTATATCTTAAGTTCGATTCATATTGTTAATGACTTAGAAAAACAAGAAAACATACAAGGGTAGAGATATGAAATAGATTTTGAAATTCGATTCATACTGCAAAACTACTCAAAAAAAGGGAAAAAATAGTAATATGGGGAGAGATATAGATGTACATTTCATTTGTGGAAAATCTCTCACACAAACTTATTTTCTCTATTTCATAATTCATAAATTATATTTTCCATTTTTTTTGGGGCTTTTCCTTTTTTCAAGTTGGTTTCCTATCCTTCAAATAATGAAGAAAGTAAGGGCACATTTCGTTCGCATAAAAATAATTTAGGATAAATATTTTCACATGAAAAAAATTTGTATGGTTAGATGTGACAATATTTTTACATCAATTACCTACCAATTGGTGTAAAAAGATGCACTCGGACCAAATAATCTGATAATATTCTCACACCTGGCCACATCAAGGGATTTTTTAGTGAAAATATTTTCCAAAACAAATATGACGTGTGTAAGAGCCCTCCCGATTTCGGTATCACTCAACAGTGACCACCATTCTTTTAAGTGGGGCATACAATAAATCACAGGCTCCTATAATCAAAATGAAACCCATTTATCCAAAATTCACAAGTTCATGGGATTAAGCATCATGGTCCCCTTTTGGACGTTAACTTGCACTCCTTTTCCTGTAAACTATGGGTTCGATCAAGCATACAATGGCGTATAATGTAGAAGCGAGGTGTACCCCAAAAAATTCATCCTATTTTTTTTTGTTCTTTTTAGTGAAGTATACAAGAGATCATTTACTTTTAATATAAGGTAGGGTGGCAACGGGTCAAGTTGGGACAGGTCCCACCGGACTCGGATCCAACCCAAAAATTAACATATCTATATAGGTCTAAGATTTTAACATGGAGCCAACCCGTCGGGTCCAATTTTTGGACCCATACCGAGACCCCGATCGGGGTTACTCCTCAAGTCTCGGGTTGGGTCCGGGTCCATTGCCACCCGTGGTACAAGGGTTGTTCATCATATTTCATATTAGGTAGTTGTGAGTGTGTCATTGACTAGGCTCAAAGTTTGAAAAACAAATCTTGAATCTTTTTATACACTCTAAGCATCCAATTTGACATCGAATGGCTATGAGTAATTATGACATTCTAATAATGATAAGGGGTCTCATCATATACAATCCCCCCTACATAGATATTAACCTATGTCATTACTCTCTCTCTCTCTCTATCCCCCCTATAGATATACAGCAATAATCACTTTCTATGTGACCCACCTGCATATAGGCCGGCCAGCCCTAAGGTCCTAATAGGGCTGGCCCGTGTCAAGCCAAATGAGCCTTGGCCTAGGACCGTCTAGACCTACGAGATTTAAAGAATAAATAAATAAATAAGTATAAAATAAAAACATTGTGGAAGCTAACCTGACCCAACCCCTTGGCTATGGTGTGATTAGGGCCTTCCCCGGTCCTCGTATTATATTTTGTGGCCTTTAGCTTCGAGCCAACCCAGCTAGAGCAACTACCCTACCCATTGCTACTCTTGCCCTTAGAGATAAGGTAGGGGTCTCTCTCTTACGTTAACTATGGCATGAAGATGCTATGTTTTAACTTTTAACTAAAAAAAAGAAAGAAAAATATCTCTATATCTCGTATTTTTAATTTTCATTTCACAATAGACCCAAGGTTTTAAAATATAGATTGAGACATTAAAATTATATATTTTATTTATTCTAACCCCCTAAGCTAATTTAAACTTGTTTTTTTAAACCAAACAAATCTAAAAATATATGTATTTTCTAAAAGCCATCCTCCCAAACTTTTAGAGAAATAAAAGGGCTTCATGGAGGTAAAAGATTAGCAGGAGGAGAGAGATAAATGTTTGGAGAAACATTGGAGGAGAGAGAGTGAGAGAGACGTAGGAAGAGAGAGAACAAGAAAAATTTAGGGTATGTAAATGAAGAGAGAGAAATGATTGGGTTTAGAAATAACATATCTTTCTCACAATTGTTTAGGTTAAAAAATATATTTAAAATGGCCAAGGGGTTAGAAGATATTTTTTTAAACCTTTGGTTTATCCATAAATAAAACTTAAAAATATGAGATATAAAGATATTTTTCAAAAAAAAAAACAGAGATGTCTAAATGCTAATGCCCATTTCAAAGTAGCAAGCATAGACTAGTCTGTTTTATTATTATAGAATTAGACAATTTAAAATAAATGAATTGGTGACCTGAATCGTCTATAAAAACCGGTCTGATTCGACGAATCATCAAGTCTAGATCTGCGATCCGGATGAATGAACTAGCAAATAAAAAATTAAAATTTAAAAATAATAAAAAATAAAAGTTCTCTAGCAAAACCAATCAATTCATAAAGGGGTCCCGTTTCTTCCCACTATTTTGCTGGAACTAGGCTCACCCTTTTATTTTTTGGTAGTTTAGTAGGGATATAGTGTCACACCCCAAGAAATTACAATACAGATATTCTTGAGATGTGACAGTCCAAAACATATATACATCTCTTGATAGAACAAATTTACAGTGGCGAAGTCCTACAAAGTAACAAAAGAAAGCTAGCACAACAACAATATCTTCAAAGGTTGATCTTGACTAGCACTCAAAATGAATCCGCAGTTATCCTGAAAAAATGTTTACCATAGTTTTATGAGTTTGGCTACTCAGTAAGTGATCATCATAATCCTAAAAATAATCATCGATGAAAGATATAAACAAACTTTCAAAATGGAGGTCAATAAAAAATAATGCGAGCACTAGCATTTATAGATAACAATTCCACTTTCAGAAATGTACAATTAAACACAATCCAAATGATTGAAATGCATATAACACTTTAACAGCAGTGCATAATTCAAAGGATTTCACAAAATACCCTACTGGCGTCCCAAGTAGGTCACCTATATACCCCATCAGCGTCCTGATAGGTCCACTTAATCCTTATCGACATCTCAGATAGGTCCACTTAATCCCTGCAGGTCCACTTATACCTCACCGACGTACCGGATGAGTCCACTTAATCCCTACCGACGTCCCAGATAGGTCCACTTATACCTCACCGGCGAACCGGATGAGTCCACTTGTATACTTAAAGTATTTCTAAATCTCTTTAAACATTCGAAAGCAGCAATATCATGTACTCAATATATCACTAAAATCATTAATATGAATTTCACTGAAACCATTAATAACAGTCACTTTCAATAACATTTTTAAAATAACCAATCAAATATTTGGGCTCAAATTTAGAAGGTAGCAGTTTGTAAAGACATTATAGCATAATTGCCAGTTTAATATGTATAGTAAAACTCTTATAGAAATTAAAAAATACGGAATTATCACAATTTATGGGATGTTAATTTACAAATAAACATTTCACAACAATGCTATAATCAAATGCTAATAAGGCAGTCATTTGCACATGAAAGTTACAATGTCTAAATATTTAAAAACAGTAGAAAGAAATCTCACAATTTTACTAAGAGCATAAATATCACATTTATTTCTAATAATTTGATAGTATCTAAAATTTTCTAACAATAGACAAGAAAAATAAATAAATTTATTTTTCTAAGAATTTACAGCATTTAAAATTTCTAACATAGATAAAATATCACAATTTTTATTAAAAATATTATTTTTCAAGATAATGAAGTCGCGTGCGCATAAAATTTATCACGCCTAAAATTCATGATAATAAGCAGAAATAATTATTTCATTTTATTTTTAAAAAGAATGGATTATTTTTCGAGACAATGAGGTCACTTACACACAAATATTTGAGA